TATAGAATGATGAACATATATACATTTTTTATTAGCACAAAAAAAAACAGGAATGAAATTTAAAATTGATATTTAATATTTTTCAATGATTCTGAAGATAAATTAAGAGTTTAAATAATCGATTAATCGGTTACTCAAGAGATGGTGTAATATATACAATCAAAGATGTTCGAAAGAGCTGCGAATGTTTCTCAAGCTTGTCCGATAGATTCGATGATAAATGAGCACTATAAATTCTTTTGAATGAGAGATAGAAAGAGCTGCAGACGATGCGGCAAGATACGAAGGAAGCATATATAAAATGATCAAAGATGATCGTGTAGTGTTATAGACTTCTATTCTTTTGTCGATTGGATATACACAATATAAATGTGGCTTAGCTATGAAAACAGATCAGGTTCTTAGGCTTTCTACACTTCTTAAAATATTCTTGTCAATAATGGAAAGGTACCATATTCAATTCACTAACCTTATATACATCATGCATCCTATTCTTTGGTCACTTATACAGTTATTCTTATGTTTGTGGGGGCATGTCAAAACCAAATATGAATCATTTATAAACAGACATTTGTTTCTTGAATTTTTTCAACATTTTATTATCATCAATCTATCAAATCTACATTTTTCTCTGAAGCTTTCAACAATAATTTCAAGTTTATGATTTTATTATAATACTGATTGTGGAAATAATTAATTTTATTTTGATTTTGGATTCAACTCACTAACTCCTAAAGGTGAAAATAAAAATATTAATTAATTTTATTATTTATAATAATTATAAATACATTCAAAAAGGAAAGATTTTAGTAAAAAAATTTATTAATTATTACTATACTATTAGTCGTGCAATTATCTCCTTAGGTGTTAAATTATTAAACACTTCAAGCGTTTTATAACTAAACACTTGAATTTTTCCGAACGATTTTCCGGGGAACGATGTATTTTAGTTAAGATATTTTTAACAATGATATCATGTAAAGAGACATTTTTTAAAAAGGATATTTTGTCTGAGGATATTGTAAAAAAGGATATGAACAGAAGTAATCGTAAAATTGATATCAATATCGTGGTATTAATGTCTGGTTTCTCAATTATCTATTATACCTATAATTCAACAGATATACGTACATAAAGTTACAAAGGAAGATACTTATCAGATGTCGTAGGGATGAATATTATGCTCTACAGGATATAGTTTTGACTATAACGAGCGGATTCGCAATCACGACTACATTGTGTTACTGTGCTGTTAGCTAACTTGGTGGGGAGATGAAACTCAGACGCCTCAAGATCACAAAGCAGGAAGTTGTACGAGAACGCCCGTTCCTAAAGGGGTTGAATACCACATAGTACAGAAAGTTTTGAAGGAAGTGGAAAATGGAAATCTTGGAATTATAAAGTATGTATGCATCGATTTATTAAATATACACATTTTCATGTACATTTAATTATTTTTAAATCCATTTCTTTGCAGATAATATGTGAAAATTATTCAATTATACCAAAAAATTGGTCATAATTTTATGCAAAAATAAATACCTGAATGAGATGCATTAGAATTTTAAATTTGAAAATAAATCTGCATATTTTGTGTACCATTTTGTGATGACATTGTGATGGTAATAGACTCACTGACACCTCAAAAGTGCCTTGAAATTTATATGAGAATTGGGAAAATTTAGTGCGAACATGGAAACCTGCAAAGAATTTCGATGGAAAATATTTTAATGAGCTTCTTAGAAATTTATTTTTAAACTAAATATTAGGACAAGAATAAATTATATTTATAAGAAATGTAAATTTATTTTAGCTGTATTATTATCCCATATCCACCTGAAGTAGGTATCAACAAACAAATTCATTTTCTTTTATTATTCATTGAACTATTAATATCCTAGATGATACTAAAAATATCTACTTTTATTTCAGATAGATTTCTCAAGAAATTCACCAATCAATTGTCACATTTACCAGCAGAATGGAGAAGAATTCGATCAACTACTGAGCACCCTGTGGTTCCATTCCTTTTCTTGTTGATTCGTAAGTATTTTTTTTTTTTATTTCATCTTGTCCCCGTGCTGGTGGAATAATTCGACCACCATTTTTCTCGTATTATGCCGGGTAAGCGTTACTAATGGTCAACTTGGACTCCACTCATCTCCACGTGCTTGCTTCTCTCTTTTATCATTCCTTTTACATGAATTCTTGCTTCCTTTAATCATTTCGTATATTTTGGTATCATATGCATGTGTACACAATAAGATTTAAAAATGTAATATCAAGATACAGATTATTAATACAATAGAAAATGTATTCCTTTGCATTTGTTTATGTTCAGTATACTCATTTTTATATTATTTTAAGGGCAACGAAAATATACACTAAAAATATTCTTGGATATAATTATTTATTACATACATTCAGATATATTACTGTGGGATAAGAAGTATCATTCTTACACTTGCGGATATGACATGCAAATCTTGATGGTTGATTTACTGTGACAATCAACGATACACGTAGCCTATTTGCATCATCACACCATGACTCTACTCCAATCATCCGGCGGTTAAGTCTTAAAAGCTTCAAGATTTTATTTGCCAGGAAGGTATCATTGTTCTCATAATTACTTGGTCTGTATGTATGCATCTTTCCCAAGTATAATATCCAATACTACAACATCTGATGAATTTCTTACACGACATAACAGCAATTACAAATAAACTGACGAATCATCTTTAACTGCATTGCAGCATCTTTGGGGTATGCAATTAAAAATTATTTTTTTTTTTTCTATTTTATTTATTAAAGTTTATGATAACTAAAGCCACTTTTCACTCATTATATTGTAAGAATAGAAGTGACACCAAATATCTTTCATTCTATGGGAATCGAAACACCCACAAGACAAGTCACTATTTTCATGTGGAAAGTTTATTCGACTGAGCAGGGGACGCAGTGATAAAAGGCGTTAGTCCATTCCATCGATGATTTATGTGTCGGCGCGGCAGAAATACAAACAGGTGCTCGAACATCCTTCGAGAGGCCCAAGCTCATCTAAATGAAAAAGAAGAAAATAAAATATTTGGTATTTATATCTTACACATGTATAAAATATAGAAAATAAAATATATATAAGGGTTGTGGATGAAACTTTTATTTTTATTTTTTTTAACTTCTCTACCTCTAATTTGAACCTTTGCTATTTTTCTCATAAAAATTCTTAACGCTTTCAGAATAGTCCTCGAGATCAGAACTGCTTCACAGTAGGATTACATGGCCATCAATCCTTACACCATTAGATATTTTTTGTCTCTAAATTATATGCATTTAAATGATATATGTATGTTTTACAAAAATAATCTTTTCTTCATCTATACATGGAGAAAAAAATCTACAAAGTTCGTGGAGTAATTCGATTATTTTTACTAGGTTGGCTCAGTAAATTAAAACTACAAATGTTTAAAAATGAGCGTTCTAAAAATTTAATTTTCTCATTTTCCAATGAAAAATTGAAAACCTGAACAATTACTACACGCAGAGAAATGTATAGGAAAAATTATCCTGAATTTTATAGTAATTTGGTGACACTGCAGGGTGAGGGTAAAAATTACTATACATATTATAAAAATTACTGTGCACATTGTAAAAATTACTAAACTGCATAGTAATTTTTAAGATAAAATTAGAGTAAAAATTACTATGCAGTTTAGTAATTTTTACAATGTGCACAGTAATTTTTATAATATGTATAGTAATTTTTACCCTCACCCTGCAGTGTCACCAAATTACTATAAAATTCAGGATAATTTTTCCTATACATTTCTCTGCGTGTAGATAAAACTATTTTTATATTATTATATTTAATTGTTTATATTATAAAATTATTCCATTTTATTATTCAAGCTGTTGATATTTTTTTTTTTTGAAAAAAAAAAATATTCTCCTATGCCCAATCTTGATGATTTTTTAAAGACATTTAATTGAATCAGCACTCGTGTTCAATTTCGACATAAATAATTCACATGTATCAGTAATTTATTCACGAGGGACAATCAATCATTTCTGCCAACGGAATATGTTATAATAAGCTATTCTATAATAATAGAATCTGCTATTCGCAGCCTCTTCAAAGTATTTTGGATATTTCATTGCAATATTAATTTTCCTCGAATAAAATATCATCTAGCTAACTCTTTAATGTTACTAATAATAAATAATTATTATCTATAACTTTTAATATTTACAGACATAATTATTATTGATATAAAAATATAACATATAATATAATAAACATAAAAATAACTATTAATTAAATAAATCAACATTACCAATATTGTCAAAAAAAAATTCTTAAAAATATATTTTCTCTTCCTCTAAACTACTCCCCCCCCTAAGAATAAAATGAAGTAATTAATTTTTTTGAAGCTTCTATTTATCCACATCTATTTAAAAACCTTATGGATTTTTATATATTAAACAAATAAAAGTACTTCAGAGCAACGAAGATAAATTTATACTAAAAAGAGATAGCACGTGAAAGAAGAGGCGTGATTAAAGGCGGAGTTTAGATACAGTCAGTTTTTTCTCTTCACATCGCGCCCTCCAATTCATCCCCACCATCTGTAGCTTCAATCGAGGGGTGAGAATCAAATTGATACTACTGGATTCTTTGGCAACGTTCTTTGCAACTTCAATCTCAAGACATGAAAACCAAAAAAAAAAAGAAACGGTAGAATGTCTACAAACAATTGTCTAGAAGAACATTGTGATAAGAGTTACAAGTACTTGATAATACTGGAAGGATCATCCTATCCCAGAATATTGAGCATGAAGAAATGTCTGGTCTATATATTTCTTCCCTACTGAGTGTCCCCACTCCACTGATCAGTGCACACTCTACTGTGTTGCGAGCTGCACGTGCTAGTCACGCCGAAACAAACTGTGGTAGTAGGGGAGAACCAAGGAAACCAGTCTTTTCCCGACCATGAGTCAGTGAAGATCCTTTGAATTTAATATTAACGTGTTCTCCGATCGTTTTACTTATTAAGTCATTTTATCATCGAACCACTGAATTTATTCGGTTGATTGTTTCTACTATTTACTTGAGAGCATACATAACCTAGCAAACAGTACGTGTAAACATTTAAATAAATACATTTATTGAAGAACATTAACAAACAAAAGTGTCGTTTTGAAGTAGTTAAAACGAGCATGAAGAAATCAGCTCCGTTTTAGTGGTTGCCTTGGATTACACAATATCTATCATCAAGTGTCATCAAAGTAGCGGAGGTTAAACATTATGAAGGTATGTTTTTTTTTGATAATAATATTTATTGAATGCTATTTTATTGAACACCAATGATGACAGTTCTATGTATGAGCCGTCGGATGAATAAAAATCAGGTTTGCACGAATATTTGGAATTATTTTAACAACTTGAGGATATTGTTAAATATAATTATAATAGGTTATATTGTAAGTCCAAATGTGAGTAGAACATCTGAATTGGATTAAAATGGAGCAGAAAGTTAATTATAACTACGAGGGAAATGAATAGTATAATGAAAATTGGCAGGACATTCAGCCCTTTTCTATATGAGAAAAATATGGATTTAGTTACATTTTTATCCAATTTACAATCACAAGACTAATTAGCTTCCATGTGCTCTTTGATGGGATAACGACGATTGATTATTAAATTTGTCATTTTTGAGATGAATATTTATAATGAGAAGAATAATTTTTTTATTTATTTATCCAAGTAAATTATTTATAGTTTGTTAATTTATTGAATAGACGATGAGAGAAAAAAGGCGTTGATTAATATGTTTTACAAGCAGTAGTCAGCAACACTCTATCGTTTGACCGTTAAACTAGAATATTTTTCATCTTGTCTGCTTGTCTACCTCCAAGAACACCAACCCCATATATGAAAAATTAGTTATATTATTCCTCTTTATTATGAGTTGATTACATTCTAAGATGTATATAAATGTTGTATCTAGCATCTTCAAGTCTATTTTTACAACAAAACCATCTACTATTTATGAAAATGATCTTGATGTATCACTATTATTTATGCTAAAATAAATTTATTCAATTAATAATTGATATATTTTTGAATTGCAGACCGAAATTTCTACTGAAGAAAATCTGGAGATCATCAATCCAATTAAAAATGTTACAAGTGTTAAGAAAGCAATAATTGATAGCACAATTGGTGGCTATGATGAGCACAAAGACAATGTAGATATGAGTTGCGGTGGATGTGGTGAATGTATTAAGGAACGAACAGTGTTATGTGTTGGGGGAAGAAGTTGGCACTCTAAATGTCTCAGATGCTATGTTTGTGCTAGATCACTTCATGAGCAACATTCTTGTTTTCTCAGAGGCATGAAGCTCTACTGTCGTCATGACTATCTATTGTAAGTAGACATTCTTTTTTACCTATAATTACGTTAATTCATTTAAATGGTGAATAATCAGCTCTAGATTATGTGTATTCAATAAATAAAAATTAGAAAGTCTCAAAAGAAGGTTGTATCAATAAAGTGATGGATTAAATGATTGTTTTTAATCTGTAGATTCATCGATAGATACACGCAGAGAAATGTATAGTAAAAATTACCCTAAATTTTATGGTAATTTGGTGACACTGCAGGGTGACGATAAAAATTACTCTACACATTGTAAAAATTACTGTGCACATTGTTGAATTTACCAAACTGCATAGTAATTTTTAGGATGAAATTAGAGTAAAAATAACTATGCAGTTTAGTAAATTCAACAATGTGCACAGTAATTTTTACCGTCACCCTGCAGTGTCACCAAATTACCATAAAATTTAGGATAATTTTTACTATACATTTCTCTGCGTGTAGATGGTGATCAAATAGAGAATTATGTTATGGTATTTACTTAATTGAGTTACACATTTAAGTAGCTCAGAAACAAGATAAATATCTAATAGAAAGAAATAATCAGATTAAACTAATTCATTGATCGTTTCACACTGATATAAACCGTGACCTATACTTAGTTTCACTATCAAGATATCTAAATAACTATTCCCTATTTATGTATCTCTACTATTGGCCTGGATCTTCAGCTTAGGCAGACGTTTTTTGACTACCTCAGTAGTCAACTAACACCGTGAAGAATCATTTGTTCATCTTAAGTCACTATAACACATGACAGTTTCATGAGTGATATTTCTAGATTTACCTGTCATTCGTAACTCAACCTTCAATTATTGAAAAAAGATCAAACGTTATGAATGAAAATGCAGATTATCCTAACGCATGACTTGCCAAAAAAAAAATAGGGAATCATTTCCATGGGTGTCTTTAGAATTGGTGGAAATATTTTGTAAAAGTTCAAGTCATTCTTAAAAAGAAAGTAGATCATGTAATAAATTGGTGAGAAATGCTATTTGAAAAATCATTTCCTTAACTAAGGAAGGTATGTTTGATAGAAAACATTGGAGAATAATTTTGCAATGACTAAAAGCAGATGATGTAATTAATTTGAATATACATATATATATATATATATATAATACCACACATGCAGTTTTATCTAATCTACCATTTAATAATCAAGAAATTACTTATTTTTTTCTATTGACATAAAGAGCATTCCTATCAAATAATTAATGATCTTTTCGAATACCAATCGTCTCTTGACACTTTATTTTATGGACCTCACATGCTGTGATAGCTATTCGTGTCAAATATCATAGAATATACTGATCCTTCTGAATGAACGAGGTCACATGACCTCCAAGTCAAATCCTAGACTTCAAAGTGAAGCGTTCATGATACTGTTGTTATTAATAAATGATGTCTAGAGAAAGTGTGAACTTTTCAAACGTTCATTTTCCAATCATTTTTAATATTTGAAAACATTTCTTAATACAATGAAGGTAACTGAAGGAAACCAAGTGGTGCTTGTAGTATTATATCATAGAACGTTTATTTTGAAATCCGTTATTTACTATATGAAAAATGGTTTTTAAAAAGGAGAAATTGTTGAATAATGTTTAATATTTTATAAATGATGTGGTGATTATGATGAGCATCATTTATAACACTTGTAATTTATACAAAAACAGTTGTTATAATTAAGATTAAACATCTAATCAAATTCATCAAAAGATAATCATGATTTGATGCACTCCAATCCATCATCATCATCAATTCCTTTGATGTTATTTAACTAATTTATGAAAAATAACTGATGCATTTATCAAACTGTTTCTTTAATTTAACTTAAATTCTGGAATATTTGATATTTTATTGACGTATGTATGCCAATGGACTTGATGCCAATAAAGGATGGACCGGTAAGAAAATATTTTCTTAGGATTCAAGATGAATGTCGTAATCGCGATCGACTATAGAGTTGAAATAAAAACAGATATGTAAAGAGTGATTGAATGATTTTGAAAACCAAGTTACATTCACTTCTCAAAAGAAGGTTTAACTTCGATACGACTTGTCTGTCAATACATCTGAATGTGAGATGGCTGCATTGGAAAAAAAATCGAAAAGACCTCACACCGAATACGTTGTCCTTGTTTTGTGTCTGCACAAAGTCAATGCGTCCTCTGCGTGGGTGCCGAATCACGAGAGTCACGAAGAAGTCGTCCTACCAGCTCTTACTCTCTTTCTCGGTTGGCGTTGAGTCAGGACGTAGAGTGTCAGAAGAGAAAAGAGACTTCATGGAGTGAAGAGTAAGAGAAGAATTTGCCTTGTAAGGGTCGTGCGGCCAGCTGTGATCTCCTTTTGATCTTATGTACGTACGCGAGTTGCTTTCAAGCGTGAGAGCCGCCTCTTAAATTAATAAATACTCACATTTTTTTTCACTTCTTTTTGATTCTTAATAACCCTTGAGACTTTATTTGCTTCTTTCAAATTTATATTTTCTTAAGGATTCAATTCGGAAACTGTACTTTATCACCTTCTTCTTTAGTTGGATATTTTTTTCATGGCAAATCTAATTTTTTAATCAATTTAAAGTCCAAGATTATTTTTAATAACTGGATCGAATAATAGTACATTTTGCACCAAGGGAGTAAAGTGAAATATTTTATCCGCAAGAATAATGCGAATTAAAGTATTTTACATTTACTCCCATGATGGACAATTTTAATTAAATACTTCAAAATCAGTACTGTAAATGATTAAAAAAAATACCTATATTTAGACTTAGGTATGGAGATGGAAATATATTGATGATTTATTCGGGATAGACTGTCGTCAAAAATGGTTGAAAAGTCTTCGATCCACGACATATTACAGTTCCTAAAATCGAAGCGATAATTTTTTGTGCCAACATCTCGGTCCACGGTTTGACTTAATCCTCGAGTGAGTTATAGGGCCGACCCATGAAAGAACAAATGAATAAATTAGGGCGGGGCGGTATGGTAGCTGGCGTACAGCCCTTGAAGATTTATAGATAACCCCAAGGCGGTGCTCCAACTACCTCTACATGTTCGCACCGATATCCTCACTATATGTACAATCACATATACCTGTCATATGTGTAAATTCACCTTCATCTATATGAGAGTTAGGCACCTATGTGCAAATTCTTCTGTTCTTTTACATCCACATGCATATGATACTCATCGTAAAGACATTACCATCCAACCATGGCGCCAGTACTTATGCAAACGAATTTTAAACACTAATGGAATATATATTGCACTCTTTTTCTTTCTATCTAAATCGAAATTAAAGGAGATTAATTTTTTTTCATTCATAAAAATAATTATGTATTTCGATTTATCTATAAAAATGTCAGTGAAGAATATTTTATTAAAACAAAAAAAAAAATATTCAACTATTTATTACTAAATAAAATAAATGCACTTACTGTGGTGATTGATGATTAATTTTTTGCTGTGAATATTTTTAAATGATTTTCTAAGAATGAAAGAGTATTGCAAAATGAAGGATAAAAAATAATATGTTTAGTATTTAAAACTCAAGTCTTAAATTATTAAGAGACTTCTAGGCGTGTCCTAGTATCTAAGATTATCATAATCGATAGTCAAAAGTATCACTGAGATGACTTGCATTCTTCTGATGCTCACATGTTGATTCAGCCGTAGATCCTTGACTTAACATATTTTTCCATACAATGAATATAAAAAATATTTATTTTCACATTTTTTCATACCTGCGTAATAGTTTTTTTTGTAAGATAATAAATTATCTTTCATCTTTAATTACTAGTAAAATAAAGAAATCTATCATAATATTTATCTCAAAGGTATCACTTACCTATTTTCTTACCAATTAGTTGATTTCATGGTCCTATAGGTTAAAAATCGATAATGATCCTAATGACGACCTTTTACCTACAGCTGTGAAAAATCATGTCTAAGACACAAGAACAAGATAGAGTAGTATGATAATGAGGCTTAGTGGCTAATACTTGTGGCCAATTTCACTTCTTGAATGAATTTGATTCACTTGGATACCTTTGGAGTTAAAGCTTTAAATTAATGATCTTGGAAAAGAAACTTGTACCATAACTTTGCCTCCAAGTCAACTTCATTGATAGTAAATCAGAACACAACAATTAACAAACCAAATTAAATTTGATTTATTAATTAATATTCTTAATTGAAATAATTTTTTTTTCTCTTTCAGAACATTTGGAATAAAATGTGGGAAGTGTAATCGAAGTGTTGGAGCTGGTGATTGGGTACGCAGAGCTAAAGAACGAGTCTATCATTTAGCATGTTTTGCATGCGATGCTTGTTCTCGACAACTTTCGACTGGTGAACAATTTGCTCTTCTGGAAGCCAGATTACTCTGCAAATCTCATTATTTAGATATAGTTGAAGGAAACAATACTTCGTCTTCAGAAGATTGTGATTCAGAGAATGGTGGAAAGGGTAGCAAGTCTAAACGAGTTAGAACGACATTTACAGAAGAACAATTGTCAATACTTCAAGCTAATTTTCAACTAGACAGCAACCCTGATGGTCAAGATCTTGAAAGAATAGCACATGTTACAGGTCTTAGTAAAAGAGTTACACAAGTTTGGTTCCAAAATTCACGAGCAAGGCAAAAGAAACACTGTGGCAAAGTTAAAACACAAAGTAAGTTTCATTTTATTTATCTTATTTAAAATAATAAATAATTCTTTTCATACACTGTCATAATATCATTCTTCTAAATTCCTTCTTTTATTTATTTTTTAAAAAAATATTACTAAATATTACATTTAAAAATGTACTGCTCAGTAAATTTTATACATGTAATTTTTTAAAACTTGTCGTTTCTTCTTTTACTCATTTGATTTCTAAAAAATGACTAAGTTAACCATTCTTCAATCTACTTCTTGCAGTGCATCAATCACCACCACTCCAACATCATCCAAACGATCTATATCCTGGGGGCGTTAATATGGTAGGTTCTTACTTCAATAACTACCAGGGAAGTAGCACCGGCAGTGAGAGTCCCGATAGTCCCCTAACACCCTTGACTCCATTGACACCGTTGACCCCAACGACGCCTACCCATTTGCAGCAACCCCAATTTTGCCACTAGAAGGGATAATTTATGAGGATCCTCTTTCACTAAAAAAGAAGAATATAAATACCAGTTGCTTTTTAAATCTTTGAGAGGTTGGAAAAGACTTTTGACGGATACTTAAGAAACTCAAGAATATGTATGTATAGCTATTGTTTTCAAGCTCAGGTAATCTTGAATACTCTGCTGGAGACAAAGTTGAATGTTTGTCTATTTTTCTTCTATTGTAAATATATATCTGACATTCAATAGAATTATTAATCACTTTGAATAATAGTGACTCAAGTTGTGTATATTTTTATTTTCAAATTTATGGTGTATATATACATAGATATATAATAATCATTAAATATTTGTCAGTTTATTAAATTTTTTAAGTATTTAATTATGTAATTGATCAATTACATTAATCAAATTTTAACAAGTATAAAAATCATTTTTTTATACAGTTGCAATGTTGTAAGTAATCGTACTAACATTAATAAATCATATCTTATTGTTATATAAATAAATTACAAATGGTCAAAATTATTTAAATATTCCTGATACTTATTTTAAACATAATTTTATTACCTAGTTAAAAAAAAAAAGGTATAAAGAGAAAAAATTACATTTTTTTTTATAAGGACAATTTATATGTGAATTGCAATTCATTTATTAACTCATTAATTTACAATATTTACATGAGACTAAAATACGTATAATTATCTACTCTAGATTTATTTTATTCTCCATATCCTCGAATATATTTCAATAAGAAAGACTAAAGTTTCGAAAGCATAAACACCAAGTCACAGTGTGTTTCACTATAAATTTTAATATCATCACATCAAAGGAAATATCGTATTATAATAATTCGTTTTCCTTAAATACAGCTGGTTGTAACAAAAAAATAAGCTTTAGAAGCGAGTATGAGATTTTTTTTTATAAATATCAAAGATATCGACTTTAAAAGTCTAGATTTATAATATTTTACAGTCTGATAACGAATAAAGTACACTCACAATCAGATTGACTTCCACTTGCAGCTTACATTCCATCCAATCGTTTTAGAAACGCTTGAAAATTGAGCAGTTTTAAATTCAACATCACATACATTATGATCCTGATATAAATACATCTTTTATTTTGGCCTAAACGTCTTATATACTCTCACAATTACTACACAGTGCATAAAAAGTCACTTGCTGCTTTTTCAATTTAAATCTTATAAGAGTAACGTGAGTTATAAATATTTACAAATAGAAATGCATTTATAACACAATCATTCACTTTCCTTAGACTTCATTAGACATTGTTAACATCATAGAGTCTTGAGAAAGTTCATCCATCGATTGTTCCGAGCCTGAAAGTACTGTAAGTATCAATAACTAATGAACAACTGTATCATCAACATCATTGGATATAACGAATAGTTAATTAAAAAATAGTTTATTTAAATAATAAATATAAACTCACTGTGATTGTGATATATTGAAGGAGTAGGACTTTTGCAAGCCACAGGACTAAGTTGATTTTGGTGTCCTTGATTATGTTGATGCTGCTGCTGATGTTGGAATGAATATGTTAAGTGTAAATTAATATGTCTTCCAAAATCTCCAGATGCTGATGAACTTGGTGGTGATTGGTGAGCTGAAAAATATAGTAGAAGATGTTTTTACATTACAATTAGTAAAATATTTTTAAAATATAACAAACTAATTTATGCATACTGTGTTGTCCTTTCATTTTGCCTGTATGTAAATGCTTTTTCTGTCTCGCTCTTGAGTTTTGAAACCAGACTTGAGTAACCCTTTTACTAAGCCCTGTGACATGAGCTATCCTTTCGAGATCCTGACCATCAGGATTACTGTCCAATTGAAAATTAGCCTGAAGAACAGACAATTGTTCTTCAGTAAATGTTGTTCGGACCCTTTTAGCTTTGTTTCCACCTTTGTGACCACTCTCAGAGTCACCGCCTTCTGTGAAAAGTCATTTTCATTGATTTACCAAAATTTATAAAGAATAATTCCTAATACTTTTTTTGTTATCTCTAAAAATAAAACACCATTGTCTTCGTCTTTAAAAGCTATCAATTGATACTTGAGACCTTTCAATAACTTTTATGTGAATAAAATAATTTTTTCAACCAATCTATTTTCATTAGACTTTCTATAGCCGTTGGGTATCAATGACGAAACAATCAAGTATCAAATTGATCGTGTAAATAAGAGAACAAGTAAGTGAAGGCATGAGAAATCTCACCATCAGACGAGGTGTTGTTGCCCTCGACGACATCGAGATAGTGAGCCTTGCATAGCAATCGTGCATCCAACAGGGCGAATTGTTCACCGGTAGAGAGTTGTCGGGAGCAAGCGTCGCACGCGAAACATGCCAAATGGTAAACCCTTTCTCTAGCTCTTCTCACCCAGTCACCGGCACTAACACTTCGTCCACACTTGGCACATTTAGCACCAAATGCTCTGTACAAAATAATATCATTCAAACTTCTTCAACCCTATATGAACTTATTCTAAATATTTTTCAACACTTGTTTTTAATTGGAATAAAAATTAATAAAACCTTCCAGTGATATGTTTATTGGATTAAAATATACTGTGATGAAGAATATGTAATCAACTGAGCGATAAATAGCTCTTTGGGTGGTTGAAACAGAACTCAAGCTTTCAGAGATACATATTTGATTGGTCAATCGAAGGTACAAGTTGATCATGTTTTATCCAACTGATAAATAAGATATCCTCAAATATTTTCTGCTAAAATATATAAAAGCCAATTATTGCTTTTCATGTTAATTATTTTGCAGCTGCATAGAGAATTAATTTATTGATTTTCTTATTCCTAGACAACTATGCTGCTGAAAAGTCCACGATTTTCTGACAGAATTGTTTAGAAGTATCATAAAAACTTCATGCTAACTTATAGATACACACATAAGGCTACTACATGTGATGTAACTACTTATAAATCTCTTGTATAGGAAAACTAATGGCTGTAGTTGGCTCTCAACTAACGAATGTATTAATGTACTCTTGTGGCATATACGTTAACATGGACTTTTTTATGACTATCTGTATAGTAACTTTGCAGATAAGTCGACTGGTCATTTATCGGACATCCTTATAAAGACATAGAATATCGCAAATATACTGTAACTTCGAGACCGATGTGCTCTCACCAAGAAAGGAAAACTAATTTTTAAAAATAAAATTTAAAAAATATTTTATTTTATCAAGGTAAATAAGTCAAATAGAATTAATTATGGATAAAAAAATAAATATCAATATTTAATAATATCTGGAAAGTATTATTAATAATTTTTTTGGTACAATTTAGTCCAGCATTAGAATTTTTATATTCATTAATTTTCCAATTTTTTTTTTTTATTTAATCGTAAGTTTCGTTTTGGAGTATTTCTTGAAAAACTACAACAGGTTACCTTCTACCATTAGATTGCATGATAAAATTGCAATTTTTAATTATAAATATCTTCATTCCTAAACGTCAAATCCTTTTTATTCAGAGAGAGAAAAAATATTCATTTTTAGTTATTCCATAAAAATTGCAAATAATTGTTCTCACGGAGTAACTACTTTAAATTTTCAAATAATTTTTCTCCAACATTTTAATTATAAAAAAATATTTTGTTTATGATGTTTGGTATGTTTAAGATTGTTCAAATTACTTTTAATAATAATAATAATAAATTAGAATAAAATGAAAAAGAAAGCATCAATACTGACAGGAATGGAGTTTTATCATTAAAGATCTGAAGATTGGAATAATATAAGAAAGGAAGATGAGAAGAAAAGAGACAGGGTCGTTGTAAACGGTAGCCGGGTGCCGTGTTGAGGCGTCTGGACGACACGGCACACGCACGCATTCTCGAATGAATGGCCAACGAGTTTTATGCACCGGGAGAATCTTCTGTTGCAAACACCATCGACGCGACTATCTCTTGCCTTCGCTCTCGCCTCATCTTCTTCTCTTTCTTTCACTTTGGATCAGGGTAAGCCGCTGGTGGCCAGTAATTAAACAACGACTAGTGGCCATTAGCCCATTATCATATTCATGAACACGGAAAGTGCATCCCGATTCCAACGTGAAGATGCACTGAAGCGGCTTCCCCTCACTTTACCTCCCGCGTTTATTATAGCCTATCTTTTCTTTCTTCCTTCCTTCTTTCACTAATGATTTTTACTTTTTTTTTCTTATTCACTTCTAGGCTCTAGAATCCATAAATACACGCGTGTGTGTGACCTCTGTAACATTTTATTCCTGCTTAGAGAATTAAATTTTTGTTTGGTATGATTAGACAATTCATAATTACCTGTTCTTTGTTTTCCAAAATAAAAATAAAAATAAACAAAAACGTGGGCGAATCCTAAACTCCAAGATTACAACGTCTTCTCTCCCTAATGTAACGCCTACGTGACTGGATGAGGATCAAGGATTTGAATTTTAAGTCGTTTGTTCTTTTCAAGATTGAATATAAGATTATATTATCATTGAATGCAAGAAAATTCTGCAAAAGTTGTAAGTTATAATTTAATGATTTAATATTATTTATGTTAATTAATTATATATAAATAAATATCTTACAGTTGTCACGATGAATCTCTACATGACCTTTGAATCCTTTGACTTCCTGTCGATCGTTGGTAGAAAGACGACGAGACCTCGAGGGTAGAGTAGATATAACGTTGGTAAAATTACGAGGCGAATTCCACTGGACCTCCCGCATGGAGGTTTCATATGACCACACGAGCACTCTGGCTCGTCGATCAAAGAAAATGAAACGGTTCTTTTCATATATAATAACGTCTCAGCAACATCGCGCCACACATTAGAACTTTTATATAAAAAACTTTTTCACATCTATTTAATTGATGGCAGCTTTGACTATTATAAATTCCTTAAATGTGTCAGCGAAGAATTGAGAATATTTATTATTTTTCAAACCATAAATGCGATATAATAAAGGTCATCGAACGTCTGTGTGACTTGGGAAAATTTTATTATCGGAGATTTGGTATTCTTTATAGGGATATCTGATTGACAGTTGGATAAACACATTGGACAATCTCTCATGGACCATCTCGTTTGCCCTGTATACACAATTGACAAGTCATTTTGTAAGCCAGTCATTTTGGCCAGCTTAAGAAATTTATACTTTCGTTTCATATTTATTTAATACTAATTTTATATAATGACTAAAAATTCATCGAAATGGGAATACACTAAACTAAATTTATAGCTGTAGAAACAATATTGTACTTTTTAAATTATTTCATTAGATAGATATATACTGAAAGAATTTAATATTAGCTAGTAATATTTTTTTTAATTAATAAAATCAAAATTTTAAATATTTTTTCGGACTTGACATGGTAAGATTTTTATAGATTCAGTTCTGATGATTATTTAAAATAATAAAAAAAGACATTCATTGTGCTAGATTAAACCACTGTTACTATCATCTATGTATTTACTTTATTTATTCTTTTTTTTTAATTTATTATTTATTATGCACATTAATTTTAATATTGTAAAATATTTGTATGTCGCCATCTAATGACTATTAGACTAACGACAGTTTGTTAGTTAACGACGATTACTTGACGATTAGATTGTTTATAGCAACGAGGGAAGAGTTTGTTTATCTCCAGTTTTTAACTGTGACTTGAGTTTACCGCACGGATTCTTTCTTTTAATTAATTGCTGTCAATCTTTAATAAACATTTTTATTTATTTATTAATCTGCCGAAGTTGTTATTGAGTCCTATTTTACAATATTTATTAGAAAAAATTATTGTTTTTTATTAAAATGTTAAAAAAAAATAGTTAACTTTAAAAAAGTTTTTTTTTACCCTATGTAGTAGGGTTTTCATTATTTAAAATAAATGTTTTCTTATTAATATTTTTTCCCAGTGTGCATTTCAGCAACAGATCTACTGAAAGTGGCTTTCACGATATAATGAATGTAATTGTTGGAATTAGTCGTAGGACAAAATTGAAGAGCAAGAGAGAGGTGTTAATTAGCATACGTTAGAATGAAAGAAAGAATTGAATACTTACAAAGCGTAGTCGTGCCTGCAATAAAGTCTCATCCCTCTAAGGAAGCAAGAGTGTTGATCATGAAGTGGCCGGGCGCATGCACAACACCTTAAACACCTTGAGTGCCATGTTCGGCCGCCGACGCAGAGGACAGTTCTTTCGCGGACTCGTTCCCCACAACCACCACACTCCATTACTCCTGAAGACACGTCCGGAATGATTCCAGTGGTCGTTCCTGTTGCTGTTACAGTCGACCTGCTGCCTTCACATTCTCCCTCTGGTACAGTGTCTTCACTTTCAGTCTAGAAAAATTAATTATTCTCATTTTTCATCATAAATATTTATTTTTTAACTCAAAAAAAAAATAATTATATTTGGAATAAATATAGCTTCCAATTAAAAAAAATATTTCAAAAAGTTTCTTTGGTGATGAACTACAATCAATTGTTTAAAAAACTGTGGTACGTGTTGTATAAACAATTAAATATCTCGAGAACTATTGATTGTAGAAAATTGAGACTGATCTCATTTTATTCCTTATAAAAATCTCTAAAAATTATATCTAGCATGTTTTGGTCTCCGATGCATTATTTTCAAGATATTTGATAAAATAAAAGGGATTTTTTCATAAGCAAAAAAACACATTTTGCAATGTGGTCACAAATGCTTACTGAAGTCTGTCGTCACTAAAAATATGGTTATATTGACTGGATTATAAGAAATATTCTTCACCACTTAATCAAGTTGGATAAAAAATCTTCCTTCTTTCACATTATTTATTTATCCAACAGTATGATAATATAAATAATAAATTAAATATCTGTTTGATTTTCTGAACACAAAAAAAATATTTTTCTTGTGTACTTTTATTCGAAAGTCAATAGAATAAGTCAATTCCCAATAAATACATTTTCAATAAAGGTTCGAGGGAACTAAAGTACATATAAATAACTTCATGAAGCTGAAAATTTAGTTTCGAGTGTCAGCCATACGAAATGGAGTGTCGTGAAGAGTTTGCACCTCAACTGTGTCTAATCGTGTGGGTTTGAACCAGCTGGTCAAGCGAAAAAGTATCCCGCAGTGAGGAAAGCCACCGATCCGACCGCATCAACGACCGGCAGTCATTCAACTCCCCTCTTCTATTTCACACATATAGCTTTGAGGTTGTACAACATTTTTGAATGATACAGACAAATGAATAAGCTGCTGAATTCTCTCCACTCTGATCTTTTCAAGCCCATCTTTTCTCTCTTTCTTCAGGGTATATTTCCCCTGGTTGTATACACGGTAAAAGCACATAATGCTCATACAGACCGACAGGATGTCCCTTTGGGCTGTGTTAGCGGTCTTGTTACATCAAATTGTCGAACAGTTACTGCTTTGGAGCACAAGGGGTGCGAGAAAAATGAGAGAAAGATCGAAATAGACAACCCCTAGTTCTTGTGTCGCGCAGACTCCAATGATTGGGGCGTGTCCGATAAATGGTTATTAAAGGTATACTGTCAAGGGATAGAAAGGTATCGACATCAACTTGGTGAGAGATGTTGGTAATACTATTATACATATTTTAGATATCAATGAAATTCTATTTAAAATTCATTTTTACTCAGCATTATCTCAATAGTCCTATTTCATTATTTTTATCTATAGATTATTTCTTTCAATTGAAATGCTCCAGCAGAACTAGACCATGTTCGTTTTTAAATCAGCAACGTTCAGAATGTACCCTATCTCATGTGTCAGTTCTCTATCAAACACCCCAAAAAACGGTGTGAACTACCTCAAGTTTGAATTCTCTAAATAATAACAGTGTTCGTTGTTAAATTACTGAATGATTCTATTCTGTATCTTCTATTCAAGTTTTATTATTTACACCAAGTGTCAGCTGTAGGGTTGATATTTTTGGGAAGAAAAAATTTAATAAAGTGAATAGAGGATTAATTTGTAATTAATTGAAATAGATAAAAAAAATGAATGTGAATAGTTGGTATTGAAATATCTCATAATATAGAAAGCAACTCTCATCAGGTTGGAGTAAGAGATAAAGAGTGAAAGACTTTCACGATACATCTTGAATATAAAATCATCATCTTTCTTTTGTGAATCTCATGAGAATTGGCAGTGTTATAGACAGTAAATGGTTTTTTTGTAACAAATCTCATGATACGGATTTAAAAATCTCTTACAAGTACTTTTCATCTCTTCTTTCTGAATGTTATTGCCTTATTTACAGCGGATGGTCAAATGTAAGTAAAAGCACCAAACTTACTATTGAAGAGAATAAAGTTTAGAGAAAAGGGATAGTTATTCTCAGTACATCTATTCAAATGAATACGAAGGGTCCATTCTGGGATCTCGAGTGGTTTCAGTTTCTCTTCACTCACCTCTATCAAAAGGGGCCTGGATATGACTTTCAAAGCCAAAAATCCAACCAACGGGGGGTCTTGTGGTGGCCCACTGTAGGCTTTTTACCTATGCCAGGTCACGCCAAAGAAACTCAATACAAAGTCATGCAGACAACAAAATCCGTACCATGTTCATGTCACTTTTTCTCGCTTCATGTTCTTTGCTCAACTGTAAATCCATTGAAACTGATACTTCTTCCGCGAGGCTTAAAGAAATTATTTTTTTAACTAGCCTAAAGACTTGATATACCTGTCTCATAGCTGCATTCATTTAGTGACACTAACCTACGTATTCATTTCCGCAATATGTAATAATGTCATCTGGACACATACAGACATGATGATGGACTTGAGTATTCACATTGAGGCGCTTCTTCAGTTATAAAAGGTAAGTTCTTGACTTTATCATTTCTAAAAGTTTTTATTCAAATGGATTATTTAATACTTGGGAACTTTTATGTTGGCTTTATGATACATAGCCCAGTCATGAGAGCTGTTTACAATATTGTAAAATATATGAGAACAACGAGAAATTTTTTAAAGAAATAATTTATTAGCCCAACTATTTTAATTTAATTTTATATTTAATTTTCAATATTTTAAATATTATCTGTCATTAAAAAATTCATAAGAAAAACGACTCTATGAAATTGGACAATTTCATTGTTGGCTTTAGACATAGAAGCAACTCGTTGATGTCTATTTATATTTAACTGTTTGCAGAAATTTCAGATCCTTTTTCATGGAACTTTTAGAATAAAAAGTCATCAATAAAAAATTACTCAAATATTTTCTAGAATGCATGAGCGAAAAAATACCCAGGAGGACATTCCGGTCTTTATGTCTAACTTTTTTTTGGTAATTTTATGTGTTATAATATTATAAAGCTCACCAGGTGAGATGTCTTGACAAAACGGTTTAGCATAAAACTCTTAAAAGTCATAGACGAAAGAAAGATGACCGATGGAGAAAAATGGGAGGGAAAAATATAGAAAATAATACGCGAAGCTATACATTATATATATCCACTTTCAGACGAGTTTTGTCTGTTTCCTCAAAAGTCTAGCTTATTGAAAAGCTAGACGAGGGGCACGAGCCTCTTTACGGCGCTTTCGTAGAAAAAATTTCCATGAGTTTATCCCGTGCCAGGTTCTTTGCCTTTTTCATGACGAAGAAATATCTCTTAAAAATAACAATGGACCCCCAAGTGGGGAAGACGGAGGGAGTCATAGCACTCTAGGGTACTCGAAATCCATTTAAATGATTATCCGATTTTGGTTTTCTGGCTTTTACGCCTCTTGATGCCATCGTCACGCGTCTCATTTTTATATCGACCACTGCGGTGTTCATCCATTGTCATCATCGGTTTGACTTTCTTAGTACACACAAAACGATCAAAAGCACGAGCGCACCCGTACCGATTTGTACGAATACAGATCGATTCACGTATTTTGTATTGTTCAATTATGTACTCGCCTCTTGATCAATTTCAGATATCATACATTCAATAAAATACAAATACGTTTATGGCTACTTTTTAAAAACTTTACAACATCTCATCCGATTTCAACATCTGTCTCGTTTGCTGATCCTTCAAATCTACTCTCTGAAAAGTGAATCAAAATTAATCATACTAATTTACTAATATTTACTTTAAGTATCCACAATCACATACAGGTGATCCAGTTTGAATGATATGAAACATAATCCCATGAATTTGATCCTATTTATTGACAAAACATTCACTAAATACTTGAGGTGTATAAATAATTGGCCGACTCGTGTCTCTTTTAATCGGATCTGTATAACGAAATCGTAAATACACATTTGAGCCTCATTTGAAATACTTTGTACGTCCCACACGATATAACTCTAGTGTTGCTACTACTCTGGCTGTCGGTGTAATTCTTTTAGCATCTTATCGTTCCTCCACTTTACAGCGTGTGTGGCCTCGTACAGTAAATTCTCAAAGTGAAGCGCAAAATGGCGAATCAAGTCTTGATCTCAAGTTATATGATCGTGGTTTTTACTTCTTGCTACATTTTTTTTTTCTTTCCACTTTGATTATTTCAATATCAATGACCATCAGCTATGCCTGGTTCTGGATATGCTAAAAATATTTTAATTATTTATCTCCATCATCAGATAAAGTATTTTTTATTACCCACTATTTATGTTATCATTTTAATTGTGAATTAAATGATGGTGTGAAGAGTAAGGTATATATACATTCACTAGACACTTTGGGGATTCACGAATTACACATGGTACCAGTTGTCCACCAACGCTTATCAACTTCATCAGACAGTACATATTAAAGCGATAATGTCATATGTTTGTACTGTACATGAACTGGGTGACTCTCACACTTGGTCTTTGGCCGATCCAAATAAAATGCAAATGCGCAGGCGAGAAGGGAAGAATACACATTATAGAATGCATATGTGCATGAGTAGTCTGGGTGATAATACACCATAAATCGACTAGCCACACGGCAGATAACAGGACATATAGGAGTAAAATGTTGGCGAAAACATATTTGCAAGTTTCTTCATCTAACTCACCTGACAGAATGAATAATTATCAATAAATTCTCCCAACTTTTATGCTGTGGACCAGACACATAAATATGTTAAATATTTATTATTACTTTCGAGTCCTCTTTTTTTTTTCTTTTATTCTTTACATTCATTACAATCTCGATTCAACCGTTGTTGGACTATCTACATGTTGAAATGTATACTTTTAGTGCATAATATAATGCTAAAGGTTGGTAAATGTATTTGCAACTATTGAAACCATTGAAACAGAACTTCTTCGACTAGTGTCGATAAACTACTCTACAGAATTACATTATTCAATTTGATAGATAAATCTAGTGCAATTTAATTACATCA